CGCAACGGTACCGTATCGACGACGACGGGCAGCGAGGACGAGCTGGGAAACGGGCAGCGACGACGGGCAGCGGCGGCGGCAGTGACGACGGGCACCTCGGCGATGGCGGGCAGCGACGGGCGTCGACGGCGGGAGCACTACCTCGGCGAAGGTGGGTAGCGACGGGCATCGACGGCGGGAGCACTACCTCGGCGCGGGCAGCCGGCATCACTTCGACCACTTCACTGGGCAGCAGCAGGAGCAGCAATTCTTCGAATTTGAAGTGGGCGCGCGGCGGAAAATTTTGCGCGGGGGGGCGGGGAGGCTCCCAAGGCCCAGAAAAAGTCGAAACAGGCCTCCCCCCCCCCCGCGCAAAAATGCGCTGGGCCCGCCCGGCATCGAACCGGGGGACCCAACCGGCCGGGCCGCCCGGGACCCCTGCCGGATGGGCCGCCCGGGACCCCTGCCGGACGGAGGCTGGGCCGCCGGGCGGCCCGGAATTTAACACCGGTTTTTTTTTTTTTTTTTTTTAATCATTTTGCTCGTCAAATAATCGCTGTGCCAATTTGACATATTTCCATTTTTGCCACTCTGGGACCAAGGCCGGCCCCACACAGACCTACCGGTAGGCCACGTGCCTATTAAAAAAAACGGCCTACCGGTCTCCCAAATTTCTGAAGGAGGGTAGAGGGGTGGTTTAACTATTAGGTCAACCACAACAACCACAACCACACCAACAACGACCCCACCAACAACAACCACACCAGCTGCAAAAACGATCTGACCAACAACAACCCCACCATCACCAACAACAACCCCACGACCAACAACAACCCCACGACCAACAACCACCCCTTCAACAACGACCACCCCACCAACAATAACCACCCCCATCACCAATAACAACCACCCCGTGCAACAAGAACCACCATCCCCAACAACAACACAACAACAACCATCACCCGGGACAACAACCACCACCCCAATGACCACCACCAACATCACCACAAGTACATCCACAACCACATTCACGACCACCACCACCACTACGACAACCACAGCCACGAACAACAACCCACAACCACCACAACAACCGACACAACAACAACCGCAACAACAATCACAACAACAACCACCTCCACAGCTTCTACCACCTCAACAACAACTACAACAACCACAAGAATGCAAGGAGACCCTCACTCATGCATCATCCATTCCATATGAGCGTGCAGGTATGGCAATCACACCAAACACATGAAGTCAAGGTTGCCTTCTTCCTCAAAATCGCCTCACAGTTCAATGAAACTTGAGCCTTACAATCGCAAAGGACCACACACACAAAATCGTAGACGAGGAAGCTATGGTGGGTCGCCCCCCCCAGGCAAGGCAAGTTGTCCACGCAAGTTCAAGGTGAGACTTCAATGAAACTTCCCACAATGCAGTTCTGTCACTCACTGCTACAAGGGTGCAGATCAGAGTTCAATTCAGTCTTCAGTTCGTGCAGACTCTACTGTACAAGCATGTCTCCTCTCCTCTCTCTCTCTCCTAGGATCTCTCCCTGAACATCGTAGTGATGCTTCTCTTCAATGGCTCCATTCTCAACCAAGCAAAGTGTTTGCTTTTTGGATTCACTCATAAGTTCTGATAAGGTCCCAATTTTTTTAGAAAATAAATATTTAAAAAATGAAAGGAAAAATAATTGCGGCCACAAAAAGAAGCTCTCTCCTACGAGCGCTTGACACAACAGCACAATTTCCACCCCAAAGAAACAAAAACAACAGCTACTAGATGGCAACACGATTGTGCTGCGACTTCAGCTATGGCTGTCTTCCTCACCACACAGCACGCTGTTTGATTTCACGAACCAGCACCAGCACCAAACAGAATTATTCCTCCAAAAACGAATTCTGCACTTTTGTTTTCCTGGGGCCACTTCCCCCGTTGCCCTTGGAAGCCTCTGGATACCTGCTGGAGGCACACTGACTGCATGAACGGTACTAAGCATCGACTTTACGTACACATAGGAGCAGGTCTCAGGTTCAAAGCTCCACAAGCACAGTCAGCGCTTACAACAGGATATAGTAACAGGTAAGGGCACAGGTAAGTCAACCCAGGTCCCGGGTTCAGACTCCAACAGCATCACACAGGCATACAACATAGCAGAAAAGGCAACCGGATCGGATCACGGCAGGCTTAGGAAGGTGAATCTTTTCAAGAAGAACAAGGACAACAAAACAACAAGGACAACAGAACAATAATAAGAACGAGAACAAGAACAAAAACGAGAAGAAGAAGAAGAAGAAGAAGAAGAAGAAGAAGAAGAAGAAGAACTACCACAACCACAACCACAACCTCAACAACACAACGGCAATAACCATAACAACAACCACCACAACAGCAACAAAGACAACAAAAGCAACAACAAAGACAACAATGACAAGAACGACAACAACCATGAAAACAACCACCACAACAAACGCCACAACAGCAACAATGAAAACAATAACAACACCCACACCCACAACCACAATCACCGCAACCTTTATCTCAACACAATAACCACAACCACAACAGCCACCACCACCACCACCTCCACAACCACCATCACACCCACAACACCACCACAACCACCACCAGCACTACAACAACTACCATCCCCACCTCCAGAACCACACCCATCTCCACCACCACCATAACAACCACCACCACCACCACCACCACCACCACCACCACCACCACCACCACCACCACCCTGTCTCTTATACACATCTACAACAACAACAACAACAACAACAACAACAACAACAACAACAACAATCACCACCAAGACCATCACCATCACCACCACAACAACAGCCGCCATAACAGCTGCCACAACTTCTACCAAGACACTGTCACAGCAGCTGCCAGCACCGCCACCACCACACCCACAACAGGCAGCACCACCGCCACACCACCGCTGCCACTGCCACAGCAGCCAGCACCACCGCCACACCACCACTGCCACAACAACCACCACCACCATAACAACCACGACCACAACAACAGCCACTACCACCACCACAACAACAACAACAGTCACCACCACCACAACAACAACAGCAACAACCACCACCAACAACAGCAAAAACCCACCACGACCACCACAATGACAACCACCACAACCACCACCGCCACCACAAGCGCAACCACAACCACAGAAACAACAAAAGTCACATTTTGTAACCACCTTCGGGCATCAAAGAGAAGTATGGCAACATGATGTAATATTGAGACCTGGTGACACATACACATGCTTACCTCTGGTATTTTCCCTCGTTTTGGAGGTGAATCAATGTCTTCAAGGGATCGTGTTTCCGGTAGAAGCCTGTAATGGACCAATGAAGTTCGAAGTGTTTCCCCCACATAGCTTTCCTGAATGTCCTTTGTGAATGGTGATAGAAGTTCCTGAGGTATGACATCCTCTTTGCACCTGCATAGAAAATGGCACCAAGTTGATCACTTATTTGGGCCAAGAGAGCTCATTGCACCTTCACCTGCAACCAAGATAGACTGCACATTGCGGGATATTTCAAATGCTGGGCAAAAAATGATGAGGTCAATAACCATTTCTTGATGGATCGGCAGATGGATGGATCGACAAATGGATGGGGGGGAGGATGGACAGATGGATCGGGGAATGTATAGACAGCTGGATGGAAGGATGGAAGGATGGATGGAAGGAAGGATAGATGAGGGAGTCATGGATGGCCAGAGAGAGGGACGGACGAATAGCGTGACAAAGGTCCAGAAGGATGGATGCATGGATTGTTTTACGGGTATGCCACACTGCATTGGATGGATGGACGGACAGATGGACGATGAGAAAGACGGCAGATGGATGGATGGACAAATGGACGGACAGATGGATGGCTGAACAAACCGATGGACCAACTGACAGGCAGACCAACGAAACAACAGGCCGACAGTCAGATGGACGGACGGACAGACGAACAGAGACAGATGGATGCATGTGTGCATGTATACCTATGTACATATGTACATACATGCCTACCTACACACCTACAAACACACACACACACACACACACACACACACACACACACACACACACACACACACACACACACACACACAGTTTCATGTCTTTTCACTTTCTGTGTCTGGGTGGGCAGCTTTAAGAAGTGCTAAACAGTCGGTTTGGAGTGCCTGCAGGACTCTTAGGGGGACCACTCTGTCTGTGATGTTTGTGGTCCATATGGTCTATGGGTGATGGTAGACGTCCGCCGGAGTGGCTTCCTAACTCAGTGAATGGTGAGAACCAACAGTCTGCGGGGTTCTTCTTGTGGTGGAAGTAGGTCTTGGATGGCTTTGCTCTCTTGGATGGCTTTGCTCCGCGGCTGCCTTGCTGCCCATCCCGCTTGCTCCTCATGCCGTTCTTTGCAGCTGGTGTGTTGCTATGTAGTTTGGCTGCATTGTTGCTGTTGCCTTGCTGCCCCATCCGCGTGCCTTGGCTTCCTGTGCATCTTGCTTGTGTGCCGCTGTTTGGCAGTGTCGCCTTGTGCTTCGCTGTGTTGTTGCCATGCTGCCCCTCCGCTTGTGCTGTTGTTCCGTGCAGTTAGTTTTGATGTTGTGCAGTTGGGTTGCCCCAGCAGCGTTGCCTGGTGCTTTGCTGAGTCCGACAAAAAAATCTTTTTTTTTTTTTTTAATTTTTTACCCAAAACAACTCAGCCCCTTCTATTCTGGGGGGCATCAGTCCAGTTGCTTATCACCGGCAAGCATGAGTTCCCAAGTACAAATTATTTGTAGGAAAAGAGGAAAGCCTTACACTTGTGGCCCTAGACGCCTAACAAGGGGGGATTGCTACAACCGATCCGTCTTCCCATACCATAGCCTCCCCAGGGATACCTCTGTCGGTCGGGAGGCTTCCTAGCAGCACCCAGCCACACAACAGATGGGTCCCCAGGGAAGGCCTGGCCCGAGGGGGGCGTTCTAGCAGTCTCACGGGCCTCACATCCTGTCAGTCACACCCTCTGTTCAACCATCTTTTTGTACCTACTAACACTCTTTTAGTCTAGATCCTTCCTTATCCCGGCTTCCTATTGAATCCTTAAGTCTCGTCTAATTTTTACACCAATCTTTCTTTGTCCATCCTATCAGTCACACCCTCTGTTCAATCCTCTTTTTCATAACTACTACATTCTTTTAGTCTAGTTACTTCCCTATACCCGGCTGCCTATTGTATGCTTAAGTCTCATCTAATTCTTACTCCTGTCTCCTTTGTCTTTGCAATCACCTCTTTCCTCTTGCCCTTTCCCCACTTCTAATCCAGGCTTTTCAAACCTCACATTTCACCCTCATTCTATTTACACCGCCCTCTGTTTTTTTACTTTTTTTCATCAGCTTCTTTTTTCTTTTTTTCTTTTTTTCTTTTTTTTTTCGCTCTTTATTTACTTGTTTGTTGTGGTTGTCTTTCCCTTGTCTTGCATGGTTGTGTTGTCTGCCCTCCCACCTCCCCTTTCCCCTCAGCCTACGTGTTGCCTCTTGTCTTTGCTGCTTTTTGCCTGGCTGTTTTTGTCTGCTGTTTTTTCCTACCTTGTGTGCTTGTCTTAGTGGTGTTTCAAAGAGTGTCATAAGTCGAGTCCGTTTCCCCTTGGCGGGAAGTTATATGAGCATCGTATTCAAGTCTGTGTGCATGGTCTTCTCCTGGGGGTGGTTGTTCGGAGTACGACTTAGAGTGAAGAGTAGTATACACATATACACAAATATTACACATGCATACACATGCATACACATGCATACACATACACACATACACACATACACACATGCATGCATTCATACATGCATATATATGTGTATACTACTCTTCACTCTAAGTCGGTACTCCGAATAACCACCCCCCAGGAGAAGACGATGCACACAGACTTGAATACGATGCTCATATAACTTCCCGCCAAGTGGAAACGGACTCGACTTATACATAGTGTTGGGCTCATGGGGATTGAACCCGAGACCTGATGCAAGTGGTAAGCAAATACAAGCTGTTTTTATTTCTGTTTTTCAAGTTTTCTGCCAGTCACATTCAGACCTGCGACCTCCAAGTAACGATACGGCTAGCTGATCTTGGACACATGGGACCCTACAGGACCTAGACATCTAGAATTCTCTAGGACAGAGCCCAGTTCCCTGTAGGCCCAGGAAAAATTGGCACAACAAGAAGTGAAGAGCCAGGAGTACAGGTCATTCAGTTTCCGTTTGTGATTTTGGTCGAGTGAGTAGAAGGAGCAGCGGTGCCAATCTTGGCAGCTAAAGGGAACTGCACGGTTTCAAGTGCCGTTTGTTCCAGACTGCTCAATGCAGCCTGGCGCCCAAGTGGACATCATCTTTTTTAATTTTTATTAACCGTGCTGGCGTGGCTGTTCAGTACGAGCTTGGCGTAAAGCTTCCACTAATTGCCATGTTCAAGATTTATCTTCACTTCAGTTTGTTTGAGTGCGCATGGGAAGAAATTGAAGTTTGGCCAATTCCTATGCTGGTATCAGAGCTGACAACGATGTGGACGTCGGCCAAGTGATTGGGTACTCCAAGCTGCCACATCGGCATCTTTGATACATCAGCCAGTGCCACATCAGCAATTAACTTCCACCAGTAGGTATCTACCTACTTCATGTTGTACGTTGTTTAGCACGGTTTATCGCAAGGATGATAACCGTGGAGAAAGAGAGAACAGTGCAGTTGAATTGAAGAAAGGTATTTGGAAAAGAGGTGGAGGGCGTTCATGTTCACATGCTCACAGGCGAGAAAGAGGGTCCACGTACATCACCGGCTGTCCAAAGAAGAAACCAGCTATGGCGACCAATGCAAAGGACGAGCTTACTGCGCCAGAGGCAAAAGGGCAAGGAGGAGGAAAAGAGGAAGAAAGACCTAGCAGACTCCAAGAAGATTGCAGCAGAGCAAACGACTGATGTGGGAGAGCGATTGCAGTCCTCTCAACATTGCAATCTGCTCATGCAGATGAGCTGGTCACATTGAAGAAGGAGATGACGTCCATCAGTAGCAAGCTGGATGCCATTGTGGCCAAGCTGCAGGGTCAGGCAAGTCCAAGCACACCACCACCTTCCCCCAAGAAGACAACAGAAGCAGAGTCTGAGGGGGAGTGGATATCAAAGCCCAAGCTGGAGGCGCCACCGAAATTAAAGGCGGACAGATGAGGATGTAGATCCCTGCTTGCACACCATCAGCGGGCAGCTAGACTACCAGGGACATCAACAATCCATTTTTGTGTTTTCCGCAATGATGGATGCAGCAAGAGAGTGGGTGAACAGTGAAGTGTTGCATGCCGGTTTAGATACTGTTGAGTAAGCCAAGCGTACTGCATGGATGGAATTTTCCCAAAAGTTGAGGAAGCGATACACGACGGTTAACCGTCACGATCAGGCATAGGCCCGATATGCGGAGTTGCCCAACAAACTTACTGTGGCAATGTGCAGGGTCTGATCCGGGAACTTGATCAGATCTTGCAAACATCAGAACTGGATATCGGGGAAGACCCCATTATGTATGCTTTCATCAGGGCTCTTCCATAGAGGATCACGAGCCATTTGGGTCCCCAATGCAAGGAGCTGAAGACTTACCACAAGATGGCGGAGGAGGCTTCAAAATTTGATGCTGCATTGCAGTCCGCTGAAGGGATAACAAAGACCAGGAGGCCAATGAAGGACAGACAGGTTCACTCCTGTGCACGGGAGGACCCAGCAACATCAAAGTAAGATGTTTGTTGTTGTTACTGAAGGGCCGGCATACTTCAATGACAACAGCAGCGGGGGAAGTTCTTAGAATGAGAGAGAAGAGAAACCCTAGGAGCGAGAGGAGAGACCAACAGATGATTCACATTAGGCAATCCTTGTCGTGCTGTACGAGTCAACAAAAGTGTTAAGAGGAAAACAGTTGCGGCAGCAGCAAAGGACATTGAAACAGCAAGCCGGGCGAGATCATGTCCCAACAGGAGGAAACAGAGGATTGGCACCACTATGGGACATGATTGCACTGACAAAGGATGCATATATGGGCAAAATGGAGTACAACCCGTGTGTGAAATGCGGCCGCAGGGGACACTCAGGTCGAGATTGCAAAGCAAGAAGACTGGTAAAAGAGTAGGGTCAGTAGATGGTGCAGACACATCTACACAAGGTGGGGAGAACAATTCTGCAAGTTGCAGGGCACTTAGTTCTCCCACTCCCCAACCTAAGTTGGCCAGGGCTGCAAGTGCCCGCCAGGAGGAGCAGCAAGGAGAGACTGCAACAGCGATTACAATGATTGAGAAGAGAACAGCAGCGGTCAACACAGTGCTTTTGCCTGCACTGTCCCACTGCCAGAGACAGCTCACCCCAATGAGGTGCTGACCGTGATGTGCTTGTGCATTGCAGTCAAAGAGAAGGTGTACACAGGGGAACCAATTGAAGATGCCAGTGAAGAAGAGCAGGTGGCCCTGATTAACATTATTACCTTTTGCAAGGTGGTGAAGATGATGGTTAATAATGGCTCCTCCCAAAATTATCTTTCCTAAAAGGCGATCAAGAGATTACGTGCACAGAGTGAGAAGTCAACAATGCAAGTCAAAAGGATTACCACTGTGAGGAAGATGTATAATGTGACACAGTCGAAGACTCAAATCAGGTATGGAAAGTCTGATGATATACCAAATGACAATGTGCCTCAAATCAGATCTCACATCTAGCAGGGAGGGGTCAAACATAAATGAACCTCCCAGATCATATCATTAGTGGACGAAGGTGGAGGAGAAATGAAAACAAGAAGAGGAAGACGACGACGATGAAGAAGAGGAGAAGAAGGAGGAGGAGAAGGAGGAGAAGGAGGAGAAGGAGGAGGAGAAGAAGGAGAAGGAGAAAGAGAAGGAGAAGGAGAAGGAGGAGGAGGAGGAGGAGAAGAAGGTGAAGGTGAAGGAGGAGCAGGAGGAGGAGGAGAAGAAGAAGGAGGAGAAGGAGGCGGCGGAGGAGGAGGAGGAGAAGGAGAAGGAGAAGGAGAAGAAGCAGGAGAAGGAGGAGAAGGAAGAGGAGAAGAAGCAGGAGAAGAAGGAGGAGAAGGAGGAGAAGAAGGAGGAGAAGAAAGAGAAGAAGAAGAAGGAGGAGGTCGCGTCCTCTATAGTGACGGTTATATCTTCCAACTCTGGTGGTGCTTATGAGAGCACTTCCCAGGGAAACACCTCGGGTCAGTAGGAATGTTAGCCGCTCTTACTCGCGTTGAAGTGGTTACCTTACCTTCTCCAGTTCGGACGATGGCCAAGCCCATTGACCTCTTGATCGCCCCGCAGACAGATCCTGACCAATCGATGCTATGTTCGATGGATGTGTTTGAGTCCTTAGAGGAGTTAGAGACTGAATGGTTAGAGAAAGACCCTAGAGACTCTTGGGTGATGTTGAACAAAGGTCCAAAGGTTGAACATCTCCTGGTAGAAGTCGATGTAGGTGGCCGAAAAGTTGGTGCCTTCGCAGACATAGGTTCTACACGAAATTTCATCAACCGTGCTTGTGTGGATACGCTGCGCATAGGGGACCAAGTGCAACGGCTTAGCAGATCTGTAGCATCTACCTTAGCCAACAAACACTCTATGATAGTCAGAGACTATGTAAAGGACGTAGTGCGCACCTACTCCTATGAAGGAGGGGAACTAAGACACAAGATCTCGTTCCTAGTGAGCGACGAGCTGCCATTCGACATGTTGCCAGGCATGTACTACCTCGAGGTTGCTAAGCCTCAGTTCGATTGGGAGAGAAAGGTGATGATCTACAAGTTGCCAGATGAAAGGACCGTTAGGCTGCAAAAGTTTAAGGCTAGCAGACTAGTGGAGAACTGTGGTTGCATGTGTGCGTCGTCGTTCTATAACTATTACAAGCAGAATCATGAGGAAGGTATGTACGTAGTTGTTGTTTATGAGAAAGGGAAGGCCGTAAAATCACCCCCAGAGATAGAAGCAGTCGTTGCATAGTATTCAAACCTTTTCGAGGATCCTAGGGGTCTGGTAGAAGGGAGATTGTTCACGAAATTGAAGTCGTCCCCAATAGCAAGGTACCTAGAGGGCGGATCTATAGGATGTCTCTTGTGGAGTTAGACAAGCTCCGCCGCCAGCTCAAGGAGCTCACGGAGAAGGGCTGGATTCGGCCAAGTGCGTCCCCCTACGAAGCGCCAGTTCTATTTGTCCCAAAGAATGGGGGGACACTAAGGATGTGCATTGACTATAGGGACCTCATGCCATCACTGTTAAGAACGCAAAGCCCCTACCACGCATTGACGACCTCTTGGATAAAGTGCAGGGATGTCGGTACTTCACAAAGATAGATATGAAGTTTGGTTAGCATCAGATTGCTATTAGACCTGATGACCAGCCCAAAACCGCCTTTCAGACCAGGTACGGGCTGTACGAGTTTGTGGTGATGCCCTTTGGCCTAGGCAATGCTCCTGGGACGTTCCAGCACGCAATGAAACCGATCTTTCATGACTATTTAAACAAGTTTATCGTCGTGTACCTCGACGATATCCTTATCTTGAGTAGGATTGTGGAAGAGCACCGAGCACGTGAAAATAGTGCTAGAGCTCCTAAGACAACACCAATACAAGGTTAACTTGGGAAAATGCGGATTTGGTCGCACTAAACTCTTGTATCTGGGTCATGAGATTTTCGTGGATGGGTTGAGGTCGGATGATGCCAAAGTGGCCAGTATACGTGACTGGCCCAGACCTAAGTTTGTGACTGAGGTGAGGTCATTTTTGGGGATGACAGGCTACAACCGCCCGTTTGTGAAGAACTTTAGTATTGTAGCCTCTCCTCTGACTGACCTCACCCGCCTTGACACCCGATGGGAGTGGACCGAAGAATGTGAGGCAGCCTTCAAGAGATTGAAGCATGCCCTGAAGGCTGATGCACTATGAAGTCCTCAAACTTCCGGATCCTGAACAACCCTTTGTTGTGACCACAAATGCCAGCCAACACGGCATAGGCACGGTCCTTGTGCAAAAGGAGGGGAAAAAGTTGAGGTCGATCGAGTACATGAGCAAAAAGATGCCATCTCAGAAATTAGTTAAGTCCACGTATGAGCGTGAGCTCTATGCCCTCTATAGAGGGCTGATCCATTGAAGGTACTACCTCCTAGGCAGATTCTTTATGTCAAATTTGACCATGAGAAGCTGCGCTAGATTAAGACACCACTTGTGCTCTCTGATGCACTCCAGAGGTGGATTGGAGTCATAGATATGTATGACTTCAAGCTCGACCCTCTGAAGGGAGAGTACAATAAAGTGGCTGATGCACTATCGTGTAGGGAAGACTATGCGGGCGCGCTAGTGACTGAGTTTGGAATTTCTGACGATGAAACTCGGTCTATGGCGGAAGCCTATCGAGCGGACCCGGTCATGTTTAAGATCATCTGCAAACTGGAAGCTAAAGACAAGGCTACTTCCGATGAGTTTGTGCTGGTTGACGGCTTGCTTGAGAAGACTGGAACAAACATTTGTATGTTCCAAATAGAGAGTCTTTGCGTAGTTTATTTTTAGGTGAGTGCCACGATGCAACTGGACATTTCGGCTATAAAAACACAGCAGCAAATTTACTGCAGTGTTTCTGGTGGCCCACAATGATGGATGATGCAAAGAAGTATGTAGAAACTTGGCAGGTTTTCCAGTGCGACAAGCCATGGACGCAGGCACCGCTTGGGCTTATCAAGCCCTTGCCTATCCCTGCTGGTCCAGGTCAAAGTGTGTCCATGGATTTCATGGATACTCTTGTGACCAGCAAGAGCGGTAAACGACACATCTTCGTCATTGTGGACAGGTTTAGTAAGTATGCTAGACTAATCACTATGCCCGAGACAGCTAGGACTGACCAGGTCATCAAGCTGTTCATGGACAACTGGGTATGGGACTTCAGTCTCCCTAAGTCTATTGTTAGTAACAGGGATGGTCAGATTCACAAGTGAATTGTGGCAGAGTACAGCCCAACAGATGGCACCCAACTGCAAATGACATCAGGGAACCACCCGGAGTCAAATGGCCAGGCCGAGCAGATGAACTGGGTAGTGCAGCACTTGCTTAGGCATTATATTAAGCCAAGTCAGGATGACTGGGATGAGAAGTTACCTCTCATCGCCAGCCTGTACAATAACGTTGTACACAGCACTACCGACATGACTCCCAACCACCTGCATCTTGGTTGGAAGCCCAGATCTGCAGCACCAGGCACCATAGAGTTTGCTGTCAAGTACGAACAGATGTTGCAGGGATGTCAGATTCACAAGTGTCGTTGAGCACATCAAGAAACTAAAGATGCAATGGTAGCATATGAGAACAGACACAAACCACCCTCTGCATTTCAGGTAGGTGAGCGAGTCTGGGTTAAGTCATCTGAGTTGGGACAAGAGCTGGGAATCTCTCGTAAACAAAGGCTGAATATCCGGTCCCACAGGGGCGCCCTTCCCCCACCGGAACCGGGCCAGTGGAGAGCACCGGTCCCCCCCGGATGCAATTTGCGCAATTTGCTGGCGGGGGGGTTACAAGTTTTTTTGGGGCCGGGAGGCCTCCATGGGGGTCGTGGACAGAGGTCGCAAAACTATTTTTTTTCCTACCCATACCGACCCAGCCCAAGCCTTGGTGTATCATATCTGGAAGGACCCATGTAAACAGAATTTTGTTTACCCAGACCCAGCCCACCCACGCTAATTTAATTTTTTTTCTACCCGTACCCAGCCCACCCAGGGTGGTTAAAAAATTGTCTACCCATACCCAGCCACACCCAGGCCAAATTTTCATTCATCCGCATCTAGCTGCACCCGAACCCAGTATCCATCCACCCGTGCCTAGCTGTACCTGTGCCCAAAATTTTCCACCCAGACTTAGTTTTTATCTTTATTTCAAACTTAGACCTTTACGTGTCGGATTCTTCCACTTTGAATTTTGGTGGCGGCAATGGGTCAGTGGTTGGGGATACTCACAGTGATACTTTCTTGTCAACATTTGGCCGCAACTACAGCCGGATTTCGATGGACCTGACCACAATTATAGTCAGAGCTTATAAGTGAATGTCGTATTCCCTAAGATGAAATGATTGGGGCCAGGCCGAATTAATAATACGGCCTGGCCCTAGTACTAACTCGGCCCTAAGATGCACGACAGACCGCCAGAGACAAATTTATACTAGGGGCATGCCCCACTAGTACCACTATTTCCCAGTGAAGAAAAAGGCTCAGGCCTGGCCCTAATACTACCTAGGCTTGCCGAATATGCCCAGTATGCCAACAGGCCTCGAGTCACCCGCGCAAAACCTCTACCCAGCCGTACCCGGAACCAGGGCAAACCTTTGCCCAACCGTAACCGTCCAGGCACTTTGTCAACACCCAGCCCCACCCACCCTACAGTTTGCTGCCCCGACCATATACCCCCCTCAGATTTCCAGACCCAACTGCCCTGGTGCATACTAATCATGTCATACCTGCACCCATCCAGAACTGTCGGGTATGGCTGGGTACGGTCGGGTCGGGTCACGGTCACCCAATGTCAACCTCTGGTCGTGGAGGCCTCCCGACCCCCAAAAAAATCAACCCGGTCCGGTAGGCCCGCCAAATTATTGAAAAACTGGCGGCCTATCTGGGTCGTCGATCTGGTGAGATCTGCGGCCCAGATAGGCCGTCCGTTTTTGAACAATCGGGCGGGAAACCACCCAAAGTTCTTGGCGGCGATCCAAACCTTCCCCAGGCATAGGCCCCACCACCCCGCCTCCCGCCTCCAGCTGCTTTCGAGCAGTAGGACCCGTCACTTCGTCGAAAGTGAACAAGGTCGAGACTGCATCGCCCCCCCCACGTCCGGCCCGTCCTCGGATCGCCAACGCCCCACCCCGCCGTCTATCGGTAAAGGTAAGTCTTCCTTTGTTGCTCTTTGTTTCTTCTTCTTCTTCATACTTTCTTCTTCTTCTTCTTCTTCTTCTTCTTACTATCTTCTTCTTCTTCTTCTTCTTCTTTTTCTGGCAAAGTCGAAATCTGAAGTTTGCAAAGTAGAGAGAGAGAGAGAGAGAGAGAGAGAGAGAGAGAGAGAGAGAGAGAGAGAGAGAGAGAGAGAGAGAGAGAGAG